CAAACATCAGCCAAGCGGCACAAATGCTGGCCGACTTTGACCGTGAGTGTGGAAAGGTAGGACTACAGCTGAATCTTACGAAGACAATGTTTATGAGAAACAGCCTTGTTCCTGACGCCCCATTCGCTCTCAATGGAACGACCATCTCCGAATGCAACAGCTATGTGTACCTAGGTCGAGAGGTCAACATGACAAATGACCTGGCACCCGAGCTGCGCAGGAGGAAGAGAGCGGCTTGGAACGCCTTCAAGAACGTCGAAGAAATAGCTAAGAGGACGAAGAACCTCCGGCTCCGGGCACATCTCTTTGATTCCACTGTTCTTCCTGCATTAACATATGCCTCAGAGACCTGGGTCCTTCGCAAACAAGATGAGAACGCCATTCAGGTCTCCCAAAGAAGAATAGAAGGAGCTATGCTTGGAATATCACGTTTCACTCAAATGAGAGAAGGAATCCGGAGTTCTGACATCCGTCGACGATCAAGGATCAGGGACGCTGTCTCATTTGCCAAGGTGTCGAAAATCAGATGGGCTGGTCACGTAATGAGATTTAAAGACGACCGTTGGACTAGAGCTGTTACTGATTGGATTCCACGGGATGTCAAGAGACCGCGTGGCCGCCCACCTACCAGATGGTCAGACTTCTTTGTCAAGATCATGAACGATCGGTTTGAGGCCCTTCATGTTCCCGGAGCGAACAGATGCCATTGGGCTACACTAGCACGCGACAGGGACAAATGGAGACGTTACTGGCGCCCGCTCGAGCAAATCGACGACTAACGGGAAGTTAAGTGATTAAGTGATTAATGATAGTATTGGGTAAATATTTTTTCCAATTATATGGGCTGTCTGTGTATCTTGGTCACCATTTATTTTGAGGTTCAGAAGCTGCTTCTTCTTCTTCTTCTTCTTCTTTCTTCATTTTTGCTTTTTGGGTTACACCCGGCCCTGCACAGGGATTACTTCTGGCTCATGCACTCAGGAATCAGGAATTACTCCTGGCAGTACTCCGGGGACCATATGGGATACTGGGAATCAAACCCAGGTGGGTCGTGTGCAAGGCAAATGCCCTACCCGCTGTGCTATCACTCCAGCCCCTCTTAATTTAATGTAGCCCCATTTGTTTATCTTTGCTTCCACTCGCTTGGTCAGTGGTGTTTCATCTCTAAAGATGCCTTTACCATCAATGTCATTGATGGTTTTGCCTATCTTTTCCTCTATGTACCTTATGGATTCAGATATGCTATTGAGGTATTTAATACATTTTTATCTGACTTTTGTGTCTGGCATTATTGTGAGATCTGAGTTCTTTTTTCCTTTCTTTCTTTCTTTCTTTCTTTCTGCATGTAGCTGTCCAGTTTTCCCAGCACCACTTGCTTAAGAGACTTTTCTTGTTCGCTCCACATTTCTTACTGCTTCATCAAATATCAAGTGGCCATATTTGGGGGTCTTTGTCAGGATATTATCCTCTGTTTCATTGGTCTCTATGTCTGTTTTAATTACTACTGCTTTGTAGTACAGTTTGAAGTTGGGGAAGGTGATGCGTCCTGTTTTCTTTTCCCCAATAATTTCTTTAGCTATTTGTGGGGACTTATTGTTCATATAAATTTCAGGAGTTTTTTTTTATCTATTTCTTTGAAAAAGTCATGCATATTATTATAGGGACTGCATTGAATTTGTATAATGCTTTGGGAAGAATTGCTATTTTGACAATATTAATCCTCCCAATCTATGAGCAGGGAATGTCTCTCCATTTCATTTTATCCCTTTTTATTTCTTGAAGTTGTATTTTGCAGTTTTCTTTGTCCTCCACCTCTTTAGTTAAGCTGACTCTGAGTTACTTGATTTTCTGAGGCACAATATCTCTTTCTTCTCTTTCATTATTTGTGTATAGGAAAGTCATGGACTTTTAGGTATTGATTTTATAAACCTATTGTTTTTAGGATCTTTTTTGCAGAGTCTTAAGGACTTTCTAAGTATAGTATCATGTCATCTGCAAATAGTGAGAGCTTGACTCCTTCCTTTCCTATCTGGCTGCCCTTGATTTTTTTTCTTGCCTAACTGTTATGGCAAGTACTTCTAGTACGATATTGAATAAGATTGGTGAGAGTGGGCAACCTTGTTTTTACCTGATCTTACAGGGAAGGCTCTTAGTTTTTCCCCGTTGAGAATAAAGCTGAGGGCTTGTGGTAGATGGCTTAGATTATAATAAGGAAGGTTCCTTCCACTCTCATTTTGTTGAGAGTTTTTTTTTATCATGAACTTGTACTGGACCTTATCAACTGCTTTCTCTGCATCTATTGATATGATCATTCATTCATTCATTCATCATCCTGTTATTCATCGATTGCCTCGAGCAGGCCCCAGTAACGTCTCTTTCATCCTAGCCCTGAGATTATATTTAAGGCTCTTTAGGAGAATGAGACCCATCATTGTTACTGGTATTTGGCATATTTGGTGCGCCACGGGGAGTTTGCCAGACTCTGCCCTGTGGGCAGGCTATATTCGATAGCCTGCAAGTTTGTCCAGAGTAGGAATGAGATAATAAGATATCACAAAAAGATGTCCTGATAAGATGTCGCGCGGCCACAAATGTGGCCGCGTGGTTCCGGGAGCTGGATTTTATAGTCTCTGAGTCTTGGCCGTTGATGGGATTACATGGTGCCAGGGGGCCAGGTGGTGGGTGTGACCCCCGCCTACTGGAATTTGGAGGATCTGGGTGGAGGATGCTCGACTCCAATTCGAGTAGGCTTGGAGATCTCGGCCCTGGAACCCGCGTGGCTTTGTCCCTCTGCCAGTACCTTCATGTGTGCGGAGAGTGGTCTCAGCATGGTGGTGGCTGGTCCTGGAGGTCTTCGGCTGCCAGAGCCATGGTCGGGGCGGGGAGGAAAGCTCAACCCGCTCCCTCCAAGGGACCCCAGTGAGGAACAGCCAGGCGCAGGGGCAGGAGACTGACTGCACTGGTCTCGTCCGGGAGTCGGGTTGCTTGGGAATGCAGCCCAAAGCGGGTGGTAAATTCCATCTAAGGCTAAATTGATATGATCATTTTCAAAATATTTTCTTTTATTGATATGGAGTATTATGTTGATCAACTTGCTAGTGTTAAACCATTCTTACATCCCCCAGATGAATTATTCTTGGTCATAGTATATGATCTTTTTGGTGAGTCATTGGATTCTATTTGCTAGTATTTTGTTGAGTATCTTTGTATCTGTTTTAATCAGGGATATTCACCTACAATTATCTTTTTTGGTGGTGTCTCTGCTTTGGTATCAGGGTGACATTTGCCTCATAAACTGTTTGGGTGTGTTTCTGTTTCTACAACTTCCTGGAAAAGCTTGAAAAGGATTGGGAGTGGGTCTAGAGAGTTACTTTTGAAGGTTTAAGGGGAGGGGGCTGGCTAAAATTACTTGAATTTTTGTCTGGTTATGGCACCCAGACTATGACAGCCTGCGGATCTGGCTGTCCTCTGTGAAGGAGCTCAGAGATCCTTGGAGACATGCATGTCTCCAAGGACCTATTCCTGCCAGGCCCAATATCTGTGCAGCTGAGTGTCTCTCAACTGGGAACACACTACAGGGCAGGGAATTTAGTCTGGGGGTATTGCATGCAGTTTCTCAAGAGAGGCAAATCTTCCTGAGACAGTAAGGGGGCTCATTCTGCTATGCTGCAATTGCTAAAATTGCTGCAAATTACTGGGGTTAAGAGTATGGTCACATGAGCAGTTTCAGACAGCCAGTGGGTCTTTCTTGACTCAGTCAAGGAGCTCCATTGAGTCCTGGAGACTGGAGTGTCTGAAGCCCAGCTTGACTAGCCTCCTGTTCCATCTGCCATTGTGCTACTTGCTGTAGCTCCCAGGGCTAAATTTTGCCGAAACTCTGACTGGAGGTCTAGCTGCCTTCTCCTGATTCTGTCAGCCTCATTGATTTGGGCCACTCACCTTGAAAAGTGCAGGTGGGCCAGAAATAGGGCGCTTACCTTGCATGTGGAATCCCCGTTTGGACCCCAGGAGCAACCCCAGGTGTGATGCTTGAGTACAGAGCCAGGATTCAATCCTGGGCACCGCCTGGAATGTAAAGTGATTGAAAGGAGACATTTAATTTATGTCCGTTTCACGGAAAAAAAGAAGAAACAGCAATTTTGTTTCGGAGAATGCACAAATGCAAAGAATCAGAGTTGGGGCTTCCTCTGCTCCTCGCTGTTCACCTTAAAGGTTGACCCCGAGAAGACAGACAGTGTCATCCTATTGGAGAAGGGCTGCGGGCAGAGAGTGAGTCCCAGAGAGACACACTGTAGCACTGTAGCACGGTCTCCCAGACAGATACACTGTAGCACTGTCTCCCAGTTATTCATCAATTTGCTCCAAAGGGCCCAGTAACATTGTGAGACTTGTTGCTACTGTGTTTGGCATACTGAATACATCACGGGTAGCTTGCCAGGCTTTGCCATGGGGTGGAGATACTCTCAGTAGCTTGCGGGGGCTCTCCGAGAGGGGTGCAGGAGTCGAACTGGGGTCGGCTAGGTACCCGCTTTAATATATTTAACTATAAGTACACAGAAGGAATTTCGGCTTCGGTCTTTAGTTGCCCTGAGGTTTGCCTCTCAGTGCCCGGAGACGAAAGTCACGAAAGTAGCATCTGCCCCCAATTCCACTCTAGGAGTGGTTGGCTGGGACTCGGGGGCGGTGTACCCTCCTGGGGACCCTGCCTTTGTCCCCGCCCAGCGCCAGGGCAGGGGCGATCCGACGCTCGGCCGGCGCGTGCCGCGTCCGTCTGGGATGCGGGAAGAGCCGCGGGGCATCCGCCTGGGATGCGGGAGGAGCCGCCGCAGCCGCCGCCGCCGCCGCCGCCGCCGCCGCGCACGCGCACGCGCAGTGGCCACGCCGGGCCGGCGCCGCCAGTCCCCTCCCCCGCCGCCGCCTCCCGGTTCCGCAGTCACTTCCTGCAGCTGTTTCCCCCGCGCTCGGGCCGGGCCGACTTTTGACAGCCGCGTTCTGCAGCCGGGAAGGTTCGGCTCGGGTCGGCGGGCGAAGTTGCGCCGGGCGCGGCGGAGCGCAGCGGAGCCGGGGGCGGCGAGATTCCCGGGCGCGCCCGGGGGGTCGTTCCGGTAAGTGCGGGCGAGCGGCAGCCTCGGGGGGCGCCGGGGGTCTCTCTGGGCTCCGCCGCCGCCGCCTCTCGGCCCCGGCCCCGCACGTGCCCGGCGCGGGAGCCGGTTCGGGTGGGTCCGGCTGGCCGGGACGCCGCGGCCCACGTGTCCCGGCCGACGTGCGGCCGCCCCGGCGCCGGCCCCGCCGCGTGGGTGCCCGGGGGTCCCGGGGGTCCCGGGGTCCGCGCGGGCTTCCTCCCCGGGGCGCCCCCCGCGCGCCCGTCCGTGCGCACGCACCGCGCAGGGATGCGGTGCCCGCGCGCGCGGGACGCCCGTCGCCGCAGCCGGGACCGTGCGAGCGTCACCCGGGCCTCCGGACGCCCGCGCTCCGCCCCGCAGGGTGGCCCTCGCCCCGGGTCCAGTGCCCAGCCCCCAGCCCCCTCCTTTTGCGCTTCTTTTTTCTTTTGGCTGGGTTCTCCCCCCCCCGTGCGCCTCGCCGCGCCCCAGCCCCCTCTGAATTAAAGCTCCCCGCGCCTGGCCCTGCCGTCCGAACGCCCCCGTGATAGACCGAGCCGGTGGGCGGAGGGGGCATCCCCTGGGCTCGCCTGGTTTCTCCAAACGGGAAAGTGATGGTCTGAAGCCCGTGCCGAGAAGCCTAGGCCCCGGCCCAGGCATGCAAGCGTGCTGGGATTGCAATGCTCATTCGCTTCCTTTCAATGAGACGCACCGCACCGTGGAGCTGTGGATTCTGGATTGTGCCCCGAGCCGCTGGCCAGGGCAGTTGGATTCATGATTTCTCTGTTTCTGCTGGTCCCTCCGTCAGATTTAATGGTGTCTCGGGCCTGAGAAATGTTTATTTGCACTAGCCAGTAAGTTAGACTCCATTTAATGCATTGCTTGAATGGACCTGGGTCACATTTGCCTTGGATTCTCTCTTTTGCTCCAGTTTTGTTTTCACTGGAGGCCTTGGCTTAACACTTGGCTTTTATTTTTATGCTAATCTTTTTGTTTTCAAGCAGAGTGCTGCCTGATATAGTTTTCATGCACAGATCCGTTTTGGGAGTTGACATTATCGATTTGAATGTTAACTAGAACAGGAACAAACTTTTGGATGTTCTGTGAAAATTATAATGATAAAAATCATAAAGATAAAATACAGTCACGAGTCTATCTAGACTAGGGAGGATTTTGCTTGAATTCAGGAAATTTTACCGCATTTTGATGGGGACCGTTTGTACTCTGAGAAGGGTCATTATTTTGATGGAGACCCTTAACACTGGGGATCGGGACACACACATACAACACACAAACACACACACACACACACACACACACACACTCACTCTGTTTCCTCAAAGTGAAGTATCAGGGAGCTCAGAAACAAGTCCAGACATGTTGTAGGCAATTGGTAACTCTTGATTTTCAGTTCTTGGTTTTGTTGCTGATTTCCTTGATGCAGGTGTTTTGATACCCTCCTTCATCATTTGTCCTCTGAGCTTGCAAAGCACATGGCTGTGTGGCACCTTGGATGGGTGGTTTGTGTAGTTTTTTACATTCTGAATTATAATTAAGGTTATGGTTAAGTTTTTTTAAAAATCTGTTTTTTGTGTACTTGATCTTTTATTTAAAAATATCCTCAGCTGTCTGCTTTGAATGTTTGATTTAATGGAAAGGATGCACCAAGATTTCAGAGAATCCCAGTTTCTAAAAATGTCTAAATCTCTGTTGCTTTTCTTTGTGTTCTCAGAGATACGGACAACCTTGGCACAGGACAGTACGTCTATGTCAGAATAAAAAAAAACGGCTTTTCTAAAATGATAAGATTCATGGGCAGTATCGTTAGCTGCTGTGATTAATACTTCGTGTAGTTTGCTCTTTACTGCTCCACTGTACTGATAGTGCTGTCCCCAAACCTTAAATTTTAAAATTGAACTTGATGACAGTTCCCACTGTGGGCTCTTTTACCCATATTGGAAAAGTGACTTGTAACTTTTCAAAATTTATTTGGTTGATTTTCGTGAACTACTTCGTGGATAGAATATATACTTTGCTACCAGAAGTAAATTGCAGCAGCTTCAAATGACTTTATCCTAATGACAACAGAAAGGTTTTGTTTTTGTTTTTGCGATTGCTTTTGACCCTGACCTCGTGATGCTTGGGGTTACTTCTGGTTCTGCTCTCAGGAATTACTCCTGGCGGTGCTCCAGGGATCATGTGGGATGCTGGGGGATCAAACCCAGCTGGACTATGTGCGAGGCATTCGAGATACCTGCTGTGCTTTTCCTCCAGCCCTGAGAAGCTTGAATAGTATTGCAAGAGAGGTGTGAACTAGTAGGTTTTGAAACAGAATTTGAACTTGGATTAATTTGGGCCTTGGAAATTCCAAGTGTGTATGGTGGTTTATTTTGAGATGTTTTAGGTTAGAAGACGCCATCTGGGTGGGTATCAGAGGAACTAATGATAAAGATTGAAGAGGGACAGGGACATGCTGGGTTTATCTTGAGGAAACAGAATCGTGACACTCAGCTATCAATTTTTTTGTTTTTAATTTTGCTGGGGCGGTATTGGGCCACGCCAGCTATGTTCCACTCCTGGTGCTCTGCATGGGGATCTTTCCTGGTGCAGCTTTGAGGACCCAGATGGATGTTGGGGATCACACTTAGGTCAGCTGCATGCAAGGCAAGCACCCTGCCTGCTATACTGTGTCTCCTGCCCTTGGCATCTAATTTTAAGGGGGAAAGAAATAGCAGGTAGATTGAGGGACTGGAATCATACTGGGGCTTAACGTCGTGATCTATGGCCCCATTGAACGTTAATTGGAACCTTATTTTGTTTAGACAGTTTTCCTTGGGTGAGAAAAAATACTCCGATATTTTTAGGGAATTCATTACTATAATTAAAGCTCTATGATGTGCTGAAGTGAAAGGCCCATAGGGACAAAGACAGCAGGGTGGAGAGGAGACCTAGGCTGACTGGTCAGGCAGGCTTGGTTCCTTGGTTGAGTCGTCTCTTAACACGAATTCCTGCCCACATCGGACCATAGGCCACGTCTTGCTGAATCATCCTTCTGTCTGAATTAATTAGTTATTGGTTTGGGGACCACAGCCAGCTGTGCTCAATGTTTACCCTTGATTCTGTGTTCAGGGATCACTCCCCTGGGGCTTGGTGGAACCCCAGGGTTGGGATGGAACCCAGGTCAGCTGTGCACAAGGCCTTGTTCACTGTACTACCTCTCCAGCCCCTGGGTCTTCCTTTAATCAAGAGAAGCCACTTGTCTTCTGGCTTTAAAATACGGTCTCATTGACTTTAAATCCAAAAGCAAAAAGAACAGAGTGTATATTTGAAACAGGGCACTTCTATGGCTGCCAACTTCTATCATGAAAATTCGTTGACTCAACTCTTGGAAAATTTTTACTTTTTTATAGGGGGGAGGTCAGATTATAACTTTCTCTCGGGGAGGGGTTTGGGACACATTCAGCAGTGCTCAGTGCCTATTCCTGGCTCCAGACTTGGAGAATTGTTTGTGGTGCCAGGGATAGAACTAGAGTTGGCTACTTGCAAGGCAGGTGCCTTACTTTACTATTTTTTGGGCCCTGGATTATAATTTTATTCTCGTACTAGTTATTCCTTAAATCTTTAATATTTTACCATTTTTTGGGCCCTGGATTATAATTTTATTCTCGTACTAGTTATTCCTTAAATCTTTAATATTTTACCATTTTTTGGGCCCTGGATTATAACTTTTATTCTGACATACTAGTTATTCCGGAAGTCTTTAATATTTTACCTTATTCTAGTAGTGCTTTAAGGAGTCCACGAAAGGACGTCCTTTTTCATTCTATTTGATGCCATTTGGGTAGGAAGGAAAGCGAGCTAGGATGCAAAGGAGACATTGCAAGGGCTTCTCTACATTGGTATTTATATCTGTAGAGAGTTGTCATTACGATGATTTAAATGTAAGTATGTCTAAAGGAAGGATCTGGCCAAGGTGACCTTTGATGTCCATTGGAGCCACGTGACTTTTAGATTTAATTAGCCATGGATGCAATACTATAAATGTTCATGGGCTGGAGGGACCGCTGGGCGCAGTGCCAGGCAAAAGACAGCCAAACCCATGGAGTGGTTCTCGCCGGAAGGGCATGATGTCAGTGTGGATAAAGAGACACGGGGAGATTGTTAGATGAGGCCCGATGAAAGAAGACCCAAAGATGTCTTTGGTGAAGGGGTCAAGAGGTGCGCTCGTTTGCCTGTCATCTTGCTGTGCATCCCATTTTAAATATCGTTTTGTTGTTGTTGCTGATTCAGATTTGAAGACTCAACTTTTCATCGCCCATTGGATTATGCCCAAGACTTTCCTACCCAATGATCCTCTTGCAACACTCAGCACTTCCTCCACCTAAGCAGCCCTCATCCTCTCCTCCTATGTCAGTAGCCACCAGGTCTACAGGGACTTTGCAGCTTCCACCACAGAAGCCTTTTGGGCCGGAGGCTTCTCTGCCTCTGGCGGGAGAAGAAGAGTCACCCAAGGGCGGGGAGCAAGACTCGGCTCTGGAGGAGCTATGTAAGCCCTTATACTGTAAGCTCTGCAATGTCACCTTGAATTCTGCACAGCAAGCCCAGGCTCATTATCAGGTAAGGAGATAAGAGAATTTGGGGGCATTTGCGTTATCTGTCCTGATGTGTCTGATTTTGCCTGGATAGCTTAGTGCATTCTCAGGTGTTTATTTGACTGAAAACATTAGGTTCCTACTGTAAGTTAAAGTACCATTTGTGATTAAGTGGGCACCTTGCCTCTTACACTTAGACTGTGGGGCATTTGTCCTTTAGCAGTCCTTCTAAGACAAGTCATCCGTGTTGAGCGTAAGGAGAACAGGTATTTAGAACATGATGTACTGATGCCAAAGTTGGCTTAGTATTAAAATTATTATTACATTATTTAGAACTATGCCTTTCTTGCTAATATTGTATGCATCAGTGGAAGATTGTTTCTATGAGTCTTAGGCTTTTCCATTTTGACCTCTAATTTAATTACCTGTTACTCCAAGGGAAACTACAAGTATCTTTCTGCAATGAGATTAAAATGACTTGTCCTTCATTTTCTAATACACAAACTCTGATTTCTTCTAGACCGTCAATGTAAACTGGTACTTATTTCTGATATTTAAAGCTTTTATTCCCATATAAAAAATGAGTAGTAAGGGAAGTTGTAAAGGGTGTTATTACCAAGTACAAATAGAGAATTAAATTTTGACCAGGAAGAGAGTGCTCACTTCCCTCCTCGATTATTTTCTGTATAAAATCTCTAAAGTGTCTTTTTGGGGGTAAAGAAATCCTAGAGCAGTTGAGACCAAATCCTATTGAAAGGAAGACTTTTTAGGTCATGATTGATGTGTCTACTTTTTTTTTTTTGGCATGAATATCTACAATAATTAAACTGTGATCGGAAGATAAAGTACAGGGGTTAGAGACATAGTACAGGAGTTAAAGCACTTACCTTGTACATGGTTGACTTGGATTCCAACTCTGACATGATAAAGGATCCCTTGAGCACTGTTAGATGTGATGTCTGAGCACAGAGCTGGGAATAAGCCCTTACTCCTGCTGGACATGGCTTAAAAAAAAAAGAAAAAAGGAAACAACAAAAATTAGGAAAGAAAGATAAATTGCAAAGGCTTTTTCTCTATTGTGTCACTCTTAACTCTTCTACCAGAAGTTTTTATTTACTTTGTTTTGACCTTAAAGAATGAAAATTGTGTAACTTGGTGATGGTACATCAGAAGTATTTGGGTGGTGTGTTGTTTATTCTGGGATTTGGGAAAAGTCAGAATATATTGTTGCCCTGGAGTTTTTTTTTGTTTGTGTTTGTTTTGCCCTCAGGTACAGACTTGAGTTCACTGTCACAGATCTTGGCATCTGTTATCATTGGTTCTTGCAGCATCCGCTGGTTGTCTTCATTCCCTCCTTCCTCCCCATCCCCTCTTCCTCCCAACTGCGCCTTCCTCCGTGTACTGCTTCTCACTACGGTGGATGGATATAGCTCAGCGCTCCTGTATGCTGGTGGCCTGTTCGCCCATTGTGTTGGTGTCTGTTAGGGTGGTTCATCTCAGACCCACAACTCAGTGCTAGCTTCCTTCCTCATGGGTTCCTATGGAATGTTCAGTTTTGTAGTCTTGTAAGATTCACTTTGAAAAATACAGTCTGGGTTCTAAAGCTTTGACTCTAAGCTGTATAAAGCCCCTAATAAGTCCTTAACTAGGGAGCTAACCTTTTTTTCTGTCATAAACATATAATGGCGTTTTAAAGAAAAAGTAATTTACTTTTGTGGGAGAGCATTTTAATACGTGTGCATGGATAATGCACAGGGTTCTTGCCTTTCTCCCCGGCCCTAGAGGGTAGAGCCTGTGCTGCCTCTGTAGACAGTGATGGATGCTTCTGGTTATACGCAAAGAGAATTCAATTTGAGCAAGGTCACTGGAAAATAACTCTTAAACTAGATAGGAAATAGAAGCAGCATTTTATTTAGGTTTTTTCTCTTTTTTTGCATTTGTGTTTGTGTGTGTGTGCACTCTGAACTTCTTAGGTAATGTTACTCATATCTAATTTCAGCTCCCCAGTATCACAATGAGTATATATAGTAGAAAAATATTTATACTTGTATATGAAATATATGTGAATATACATAAATATGAAATATATATATGAAAAGGGCAATAAAATTAAGGAACATTTTTCAATATTCAGAATTTTTCAGTACAAGAGTTATAGTAAGATTACTTCATAAGGGACAACTTAAGCAGCCAAAATCTTGAGTAAAGATAGGGTAAAGAAGCAAGTAGATGAAAGTAGAACCGAATAGAAAAATGTAAAGTTTGGGTGTAATTTAAAGCATGTTCATAAGGGCTTGGAAACAAAGATTTGAACGAAACCATTGTCACTGGTGACTCTTAAAGAAGTTTCTTCCGCAGAAAAGAAGGCAAGGGTTTGATGCTTTAAAATGTACCTGGCAGTTTGACTGAAGAGCATAGAAGAAAGTTAATCTTAGAAGTGAAATCTAAGGGCTGAAGCCATAGTACAACGGGTAGGGCATTTGCCTTGCACACGGCCAATCTGGGTTTGATCCCAGCACCCCATATGGTCCCCCGAGCACCGCCAGGAGTAATTCCTGAGTGCAAAGGAGTGCCAGGAGGAACCCCTGTGTATCACCAGGTGTGACTCAAAGGAAAAAAAAGAAGAAGTGAGATCTAAAAAAATTGAAATAATCAAGATGAAGTTAAATTAGAGTGTAAGTCAAAAATCAGAGGCCAGAGCAGTAGTGCAGTGGGAAGGGCATTTATGGTGCATGCAACTGATCTGAATTTGATCCTCTGCATCCCATATGTTCCCCTGAGCATAGTGAGGAGTATTTCCTGAGTATAGACCCAGGAGTAATCCCTGAGCATTGCTGAGTGTCACCTTACCCCCGGAGAAAGGAACCAAAAAGACTCTCAAAAAACCCAAACACACAAAAAGTCGACCACAATATTGAAAAGTACATGACAGCCTGAACATAACCAGTTGGTGGGTGAATCAACAGAAGACAAGCACACGGATGCTCACCTGAAAGGTGTCAAAAGCACCCAAAGGATACAGCAGTAGGGAGTAATTGGAAGCGGTGACTCACGACAGAGGGAAGAACAGTGAGCGAGACTTACCAAGCATCAGAAAAAGGCAGCATGCAGGGAGGGAGAGCTGACCATTCAGACACCGTGGTTAATGAGGTGCCGGTTGCCAAGTTTTACTTCCATACAGAAACCTGCTTTGTATCTTTGTTTCGTTTTGGGTCCATTCCTAGCACGACTCAGGGGTGCTCCTGGCTCTGTGCTCAAGGATCACTCTTGGGGGACCCAGGGGAACATATGTGGTACCAGGCATCAGGAACTGGTTGGTTGGCACAGGGTAAGTGCCCTACCTGCTGAACCATTTCTCCAGCCCCCGCTTTGCAGTTTTTAATACTGGGATACCAGTGCCTCAAGTTCATTATTTTGAGATAATAATAAGTATGAGATTAAAGGGGTCAGTGGTATCCTATTTGTAAGCTGGAAACATACCCTGCTGAAGTTATAAATCACTGATTGTTTGAGTCAGTTAATGCTGCTATTGAAATCACAAAAGTTTCAAATTGCCCAGGGTATTGGAAGCAGCCTTGGGCAGGTTTGAGCTGTGTGACACTGGAGTCTAACTGTATCATGTTCCCCTAATCCAGGACACAATGCCGGCTGCTTAATAAACAGTCTGGAAGCTCACTTCCTCCTTTGCCCTGCCGTGCTGCTGTTCCCAGGCAGGGGGTGCATAGCAGTGATCCAGGTCTGTCTATGGTTGCTTGCAGATTTAGTTCTATTTCTAGGGCTTCTAGATTGGTCAGACTATTTCAGAATACCCGTAGCTGGTTGTTTCATTTTTCAATGAATTTACCGATTTTTGCAGTCTCAAAATCGTGGCATTCAGTAGATCTTTTTTTTATTCCTCCTCTCTTCCCCCTTCCCTACCCTTTGTTCTTACTGTGATGACTGGGCGCATCTCTCTCCCTCCCTCTCTGCCTCCCTCTCCGCTCTCTCTTTTTCTCTTTCTCTCGCTCTGCTTCTCTCTCCCTCCCTTTCTCTCCCCCCCCCTCTCTCTCTCACACACACACACACACACACACACACACACACACACACACCACACCCCATATATTTGTCGATATTGTTCTTGGTGGGGTTGCACACTTTAGCTATGATACCGGCAACTATCTGACTGTGCTGAGTCAGAGACTGAAGTAGCAGAGCTGTCGGGACCTTCCTTAGGGAATGGGCATCACGGGTGATTGAACTCCTGGTCTCAAGCTTGGGAAGCCTGCACTCTGCCATCCACCCATCCCCAGATTCTCTATTTCATTATTTCCCAAAGTGGGCAGTACTTTCAGTACTTCTTACGGGAGCGGGGGCGCTGGAATGATCCAGGGGGCTGGAAATAACCTCAGGTTCAGTTGGGGTGGGAGTTTACATTCGGTTTGCTTAAAGAAGTATATTGTCATGAGGAATGTTGAGTGATTCTTTTTTTTTTTCCTTGAAAAGGGGGGCTGCGGGCCAAAGCAGTTTAGAAACCTCTGTCGTAGCTATATCTTAATTTAGAATAAAACTGTGGGAGCTGGAGTGATAGCACAATGAATAGGGCATTTGCCTTGCACACGGCCGACCTGGGTTCGATTCATAGCATCCCGTATGGTCCCCGGAGCACCGCCAGGAGTAATTCCTGAGTGCAGAGCCAGGAGTAGCCCCTGTGCATCGCCGGGTATGACCCAAAAAGAAAAAAAAAATAAAATCTTGGATGGAAATCATGTCTTTATTTTAGTCAAGTCTTTATGCAGGTTGTTGGTTACTTAGGGCAAAAACGGCATGGAGTAATGAAAAACTTGTGGAAGCATCAATGTCTAAAGGAAGAACCACTTTAGGAAGGAAGATTATTAATAGAAACCAAAAGAACAGAAAGCATGAATAAATTCTGCGAAGGCATCCACAGCTTAAAATAAAATTAACTGATTTGCATACCCATTTGAAAAAGATCTGGTTGCTCAAAGTACATTTCTAACATGTTACGAACATAGATTTCTATTT